CTCAGATCCACCCTCAGACCAATCTCCGCCGTCCAAGTACCCGATCCCACCAACCCCAAAACTCCCATTGCCCCCGCCGCCGCCGTCTCCACGTCCTCCGTCTCTTCAATCAATGTCCAGACCAAGCCGATATGGGCGCTGGACAGCTGGAAGTCGAAGAAGGCGCTGCAGCTGCCGGATTACCTGAATCAAGACAAACTGGATTCGGTCCTCAAAACTCTCGACGCTTTCCCGCCGATTGTGTTTGTCGGGGAAGCTCGGAGCCTGGAGGAACGGCTGGGCAAGGCCGCCATGGGGAATGCTTTCCTCCTGCAGGGCGGGGATTGTGCCGAGAGCTTCAAGGAGTTCAACGCTAATAATATAAGGGACACTTTCAGGATCCTGCTCCAGATGGGCGCTGTTTTGATGTTTGGTGGCCAGATGCCTGTTATCAAGGTCGAATATTATACTCCCTATCTAACACTTGTATTTTATCACGAGTCCATCTCATAAGATCTGGAATACGTGTTTTTTCTTTTTCTTGTATGTTTCTTCTCAATTTTCATCATTGTATGTTATCCTGCGTTGCTAGTGTCCAAGTTTGAGGATTGAAGCAACTTCCTCTTATTCCATGTTGACCTGTCTCAACAGTATGTAAATTTACTGAATTATATAGAAAAAAAAAATTAATTTGCCTTTTGGTGTAAATAAAATTACACAGGTGGGAAGAATGGCAGGCCAGTTTGCAAAGCCTAGGTCAGACTCATTTGAGGAAAAAGGCGGCCTGAAGCTGCCGAGTTACAGGGGAGACAACATCAATGGAGATGCTTTTGATGAAAAGTCAAGGATTCCTGATCCTGATAGGATGATTAGAGCATATTGTCAATCTGCCGCTACTCTGAATCTCTTGAGGGCGTTTGCCACTGGTGGATACGCCGCCATGCAGAGGGTCACACAGTGGAACTTAGATTTCACAGATCATAGTGAGCAGGGTGATAGGTATGCACTGTGGGATTTTTTATTTTATTTCATTCTTGTGGTGTTGTGGAGACAACATCAATGGCAAAACCACTCCTAGTTTTCATCGGTCTCGGCATCAACGACAGCAAATGCTAAAGTGAACAAATCATCATTGGCGTCCTTACTCACAACACTAAGCAAAACGCCTTTGAATTTATTTTTTATGTGAGTGTCATCCAAATATATCAACGGTCGACAACCGGTTAAAAAGCCAACAACACAAGCACGAAAGCAAATGAACAATCGACGGAACTTATTTTGGACATTGTCAAGCTCACAATCCGTAATGCTTCTGGGGTTTGTCTCACGCACCGCAGAACAATACCATCTCAATTTATCATAAGAGCCCTTGTCTGCTCCATGAATTTCTTGCATGGAAATATCCTTCCCGGACCATGCCTTTTTGTAAGGCAACTCCAAGCCATAATCCCTATGAAGATCTTTCAATATCGTGCATGGCTCGTAGCTCGGTTCATCTCTCAATTTCTCCTTAATTGCATTTGAGACCCAATGAGCGTCTGCTTTCGGATGCCCCCTTGTCCGAAGATTGGACACTCCACAAGTATGGACTAAATTGCTCTTCCGGATGGAAAAGACATGATCACCTTTGAATTTTGAGGCATAGATTCTCCATTGACAACCCTCGTCAGTACAACAAACAATGATCTTTTGTTGATCATTTTTTCGGTACTTAAACGAACGCCTATTTGCAATGGTGTAGTTTTTAACAACCTTCCGAAATTCATCCATGCCGCCACCGAATATCTGTCCCTCTCCTTTGATGGAAAATCTCCAAGAATCGATCGATCTATTTTGCACTACAAACTCCGATTCTCCTTCCGATAAGATTTCCCTGCGTTCATTATAAAAAATACAAATTTTTATATATAACGAACTAGTTAAGAAATTAATGAATTAAGATATGAAACAAATACACCATATATCAATAATAAATTCATTAATATTACGAAAGCAACATTACCCTCTCATGCTCAACGGCATGGATTGAACACCTTCATCCGCTCTTTCATTTCTTCCAATGTTCGAGCTTTCATTTCTTTCAATGGCAACTATCTCTACAATATTTACTTTCCAACAACCGTGTAACCGGATCATGTTTTTTACATCCTCATCATCGAACAAAATAATTCTCTTTTTTTCCTTTGGTGCAATGTAGCTTAACATGACGGTTTTCGAACTAACAATCGGCCACCTCTTACCAATGAGAGAGTACACTTCATCAAGAGTTGATTCAAGGTTCATAGAGAATACATGCATTTCATCCTTGTATGTACAACTCCCTAATATATCACTTTGTGCCCCTTCCATGTATCTAACAATAATTAGATTAAAAAAGAAAAACAAGTTCACTATTCCCAGCAAATAAGGTACCAACAGTAAGAAAAGTGGTACAATATATCCAAACAGAGGTACACACAGTCATGAAGAGTGATACTATCATTATTCTCGTCTTATTTTTTTTTTGTTTTATGGTCAATATATAACACCTAACATAACCTAACAGTAGTATAAATTTAGTATACATGAACAAAAAAGTAAGGATTATGATCTCTTTATTTATTTTAGGGAAAATATAAACAACAATATTCAACATTCAATCCTTCACAAATCAAACAAAAATACATGAATTAAAGATGATTTTTGGACTTCAAACTTCTCATGTAATACATACATTACCTACTACTTCAAATTTTCACCGGAAAAAGTCACAATCTTGCCGAAAAAATAAGAACTTTCGGACAGAGAAAAAGATTTTTTTGGCCGGGAAAAAGCCCAATGTCGCCGGATTTGTTGCCTCTGGAAAAAGCCCCAAGGTTCGATTCTATTCTCCAGCGAGATGAAGCTGCAAGAGAAAAGATGAAGAAATTAAATGCGGGAGAAGAGAAGAGGAGAGTGGGAAAGAAGAGTGGGGAAGAAGTTACTTTTAGGTAAACAAAAATTATAAAATAATGTGTCAAAATTAGTAGATAATGAGATGATGTCACATTTCAATTTCTTTATGATTTTTTTTAATAGGAAGGATTTATATGGAACTTAAATAAGAGGGTAGGTAGTTAAAAGGAAACAAATAAGGGGGAGGGACTGAACAGGAATAAGAAAAAGGGACTTAGGGATTTTTAAAGAAGATCCCCTAAAAATATATTTTACTTCTTTTATATTTTAAATAAATTGTTATATATACGAATATGTAATCTTATATAAATGTTTATTACCCAACTAATAAAAACATGTTTATGTATAAAAACACTAGATTGTTTCACTAATTCAAACAACAAGAATACAAATTACATAATACAATGAAAAAGATAAAAACCATTACCACTAATTTTTAGAATTAAAAAATTCCTCCCATAAATGTTCAATCAATGCATTACGAAGGGCGATATGAGCTTCTGTATCTCGAATTTGTCTGTATCGAATAACAAATTCTAGGAACCAAGAAGCTTCATTTACCCACCATTTCAACATCAGGGATCGGGGCTGTAACGCCCCACTTTTATTTCACGAAAGTCAAAGGCTTTTCAAAAGTCAACTTAAATTTTTTTTTTTCGAAATTCTTTTCGAAACCTTTACATAAATCAGTGGCGCTACTCGAACTAAACCACATAATAACATAAATCACACTTGCATAAATCATAAATCATAAATCCATTATTTTCATAAATCCCAGTTTCATCTAAACTGTTCATAAGGGAACATCTCCCAATTCAAAGTTACAAAAATTCCAAAGTCATAAATAAGCATAAATAAATCTAAGTCTACTAGCATGCGAAATAAACTAAATGAAGTCAGTCAAAGACCAACACCACTCGTCTCTGTCTCGTCAGCCGGCACCTACTTAACCTGCATCAATGAAGAGCAGGTG